GTGCACGATTTATATGACTTTATAACACCCATATAATTCGTGTTCTCATTGGTTTGAAATTGTTGCATGAATCTGAATGCATTAGTAAAATAAAACTATATATTCCTATCACATTTGTGTATAAAATACTTAGATTTATTAAATAAAACGTTATAAAGTCTCAAACTTATAAAGTAAGTGTAAGTATTACCGTGCCAGAAGTACATAGTTCTTAACCCTCTAATTACATTTAAAGGTCAATTTAACCCAGTGTAATAAATTTTTATCTAATTACGCATTTTTTGGGAATTAAATAAAATAAATAACTGTTATACTAGAGACAACAAAAACGCAACTAATAGGTCTACGAAAACTATCTGAAAAAAATATGCTAACGTAAAAACAATAATATTTCTCTTTATTCTCGCCTTATGTTATCATGAAGAATCATCCCTGTTTTCACTCACCTGTTGCAGAACACGTGGTTAAATCGGGAACACGCTATTGGCAAGCTACCAGTTCTAAGTAATGAGGATGAAAAGCAATAATAATACAGAATGTTGTAGCAATAGTCATAAAGGGTTTTGAGATTAATATTTTGAACGATCACACAAAACAGATCAAATTATTCGAAAAGAATTTTAAAAAATCTAAAAATCAAATTTTATTTAAATGTTTGTTATGGCATATACTTGTTTAATATAAGAAACATTAAATCCTTCCTTTGTTTTAAGCGATATGTTTATAGAAACTTTTCTGTATAATTTTTAAAAAGCACTCTGTCATCGATCTAAAATGTGTTTTCGAAGCATTTAGAATTTAGAACAATGCATTGGGCAGTGTTATCAGCAATATCGTTTTTTATTGATTTATTAATTTAAAATAGTATCAAAAACATTCAATCTGTTTGTAATGGACAATTATTTTTAGTAATGCAGAATACATATGTCTTAGCACCTTTATGATTAAAATAATTTTCAATGTTATCCAATTGTAGTTGTCTATTATATTGCTTGCAACTTGCAACATCATAATCGAATTACAGTAAATTCTCCCTAAAAGGCCCGTAGCTCGGAATTAAAAACGGTAATCGGCGGACACTCAGACACAATTCTTGTATAGTTTGTTCGTTGTATAATTTGCCGACACCTCGTGAGAGAGAAAGAGAGAACGAAACTCGGGGTAGTCGACAAAACAGGCAGCGGCCAGTATGCCGGTGTACATTAATATAAATATACATAATAATGCTAGAATAACTTAACTTTTTTATTTCTAATTTTTTAAACATGAAATTTTTTTTAATATGTTGGCCAGATTCTTTCATTTAAAATGAGACCAAACGCGGCATGCTTTAGACAATGTTTATTCATTATACGTAGCAAGTAACTTATTTTATTTCATTGTACAAATTGTAATTATAACAAAAAAGCATTAGAAAGAAGATATCAGTGGAGTTATGCTATTCGGGCCTAAATTCGACGGAAATTCCGAGGCGATATGCTACGATTCGACGGAAATTCCGAGGCGATATGCTACGATTCGACGGCAATTCGAAGGCCCCATGCCTCGATTCGACGGAGAACTTGACCATCAATAGTCGTTGCGATTGGTCACGTACCTTATAGCTCCGCGGTTTTACTTACCCGACTCACACCCAAACAGATCATTTTGTGTTATCTTCGGGGAATTCGAGTCAAAGGAGCCGCGTCGCGTGCTGCATCGCACGCTTGATCGACTCCGTCGAACCTTAGCATCGACGTAGCAATAAATCACGAAGTCTTAGGACTAACACAGGGAAATTCACAGCAATTCAAAATTTGGCATTCTAGAGAGAATTTACTGTAACTTATTTCTGAAGACTAACAAAAATGAGATTACAGTGAAGCAGGCAGGAGAGAATAAAGTACAGAGAACTGCGAAGCTACCAGATCAGTGCGATTCATGTTCAATGTGAAGCGAAAAGAAACTGACAACATAATGCTGCAACGGGCAACATCTTCAGTATGTCCGAAAATGTACTTACAAGTACCTGAGAAGTTCATGTTGGCTGAAAACATTGCAACTAAATATCATTTATTAGCTCCAAATTATTTTAAAAACAGGATTAGAAAATGGTGTCGGTTCTTTTTATTAACAGAGATAGGCAAGAAAATGGAGAATTTAAACATACACCTGCTACGATGATTTTTATCTTTCTGATCCCATACAGGACATCTTTCGTAAATTACACCAATTAACATGTCACAAAGACTGCGTGTTGCGATGATTCGATGTTTTAATGATCGACAATCGACAAATGAACAACGACAATGATTGCCGCGGTCAATCAAAATTTTCTCGACGGCGTTTATTTCCGATATCAGAAACATTTTTTTATATAATTTTCGATGTAATAAGTATCACTATAAACACTCGCAGTTGATTACATTGTTTTGATTTTTTCGCGACGCTTACCTCGCCGCTATTCTCATTCCTCACCGTTTCATTATACTTGTACCCTAGGTCCTAATAATAAGTCTTAGGGTCTAAGACAATGTGGAAGTGTTGAGTCATGGTTTCTACGGGTTACTATGGGTTACACTGCAACTGTAACCGTTACAGTAACCTTTCTTAGCAAAACCTGGGTTACAATTCGGACTAGACAGTGGCTGTGGTCGTTGTCGTTGCCCAAGAAAAAGGCTCGGGATGAGGACAGTGCCCTCTGCATTTTACCGTGTACGCATGTACATATGACAGAGCGCTCACAATCAGCTGACCGAGGTTTGAAAGTGCGCGCCACAGAAATAGTACCTTCACTTTTCTAGATACCGTTATTGTTTTGAAAGCGTAGCTTCTGCTTATAAAGTGGTAAGGGATCATTGAGTTGTATTTGCGTGAGGAATATGCATGTTTCGAATGGTTCTATATTTTTATGACATCCTGTATATTTTTTCCTTTTTACTATATACAGGTTATTCCACAGTATTTGTTATATTTTTAAATTACACACTAGAATGATGAAAAAAGATCCGAAACATATATATCCGATGAGATTTGATTTCATAAATACAAGCTATTATTAATGATACGAAAGTAGTGCTAAAAACGCCTACAGAAGAATAACAACGTAATTGCGGGCTACATTTCGTGACCTGATCTTTGACACCTATGTTTTTATTATTGTTTTATCATACAACATAAAAAATACACTTTTTTTATGGAGACAACGCCGGAAACAACCAATTGCAGAACTTACCTTTCCTGTCAAAGTATTTTAATTCTAACTAATGTTTTATGTCAGTTTCCATTGATTTTGCATTTCGTATAATAAAACATTGGGTTCTCATAAATTCTAATAAGAAAAGTCTGAACTTTCAAACAAGATAGAATTAAATTCATGAATGAGCAAGAAAGGATACGTCTTGAAAACTTTACTATAGACAACAGTTATTTTCGAATAGTTTTTATTGTGCGGTTTGAGTGTACTTTTGTACGTATGTATGTATGGATAATGAAATAGTTTTAGGACAATAGGTTAACACTAGGATAAATAGGCCATGAAATGTACCCCGCTGTTAGTTTATCCTATTAGCAATGGTTATGGGTACTTCTTCCGCGATACAAACGACAGCTTTCAACTAAAAAATTAAGTCTCACCGACAATATTTATGTATGAATTTTCTCCATCTGTTTAGTCTGTAAAATCGAGCCCTCAAAAGTGGTCGACATATTATGAAACAGCTTTATACATATATACATAGATATATATTTACTATATAACATATATATGTATGTTATATATTTCTTTATAAATGTTTATAAAACACATTTCTTCATCTCACATTTATATAATACATAATAAATAAAACACATTTTGTATTTATAAAAATTATTTCTGAAGACTAGAGAAGCATTTTCATTAATAAAGTTTATTTTATAACTTGCAGCCCAAATTTCAAGCAACAAAGTAAAAACAATTTTTCGTTGTTTACGCGAGGAGTACTTTTCTTGGCCATCAGAATAGTCAAATGTAATTCGAGAAAGATGACATTTATAAATTGTACCTTTTTACATCTACGTTTTTACTTTGAAATTGTTCTTTAAAAAAAAATACATATATACATATAATATTGTAGGGAAAATATACAACGTTATGCGTGATTTATATTTAATTAATAAGTTTACTAACTTTAAATTATACACAAATACGTAAATTTATTGCTATAACGTTTCATACACCATCCTCGACGCAATTCCTGATGTTTATGAGGAAGATCGTGACTATGCTGATACGCAGGGGCAATAAAAAAAATGTATTGTTTGTTCAAAATGTAACTCCCTAATTCTTCGAATGACTTTTCTCTGTCGACATGCATAATAATATTCCGAACTCTATCGCGCACAATTATAAGTACACGCAGAGGCTGAAAATATTATTATGTAATACTTTTGGCTCATATAAGAAAACCCAAACCCTTTAAAAATTGGACAATTATCAGGATCTCTGTGCAATGAATCCTCTGTGAATTAAAAATTTGTTTCCGATGCATGCACTTGATAGTTTTATTAACGATACGTTTTCAAGGGATTTTCATTATACACAAATGCAAAATTGTTTGTATCGCAAAACATATAAATACTACTTGATGTAGTTTCATTATTTCTTTTATTGTTACAAATAACCTCAGATGAGATTTTATGGAATAAATGCTTGTTAAATGATTTTTCCATTGTTTTAACTTTTCTTTCCTTGTTGAATGATTTAATTTTCTAACGTGTTGACCCTCGTCATCTAAAAACGATACTTTTTTATCTAAAAGAAGTGGCTTTCGTAAAATTTACTAACCAAGGTATACTTACTTTTTTCATCCAAAAGTAGTATGGATAACAGTCACTTTCAACTACGACAAAATAGACGTAAATATCATAAATAAATTTTAATGGTTATTATAAAACAAACCTTTTACGCAAACTAAAATCAATAAGATCTTTGCTCAGTTGCAATGAATGCTTAAGTGTACAAAAAAGCAATTAATAAATAAATGTTTATATTAAAATGAAATGAACAAACTAGAGCTCTGACTAGCATATCTCTCAATTTAGTTTACAAAAAGCACTTCCTCATAGAGGGGTCAAAAAGTATACGTTTTCTCGAGACGCGGATTAATTTAAAAAATAAGAGAAATAGGAGAGGGAAGCAGGAACGGTTGGCTTTTAGAATAGAAGCGATGTATCTAGTAGTAGACTCTGTTCAGACTTGTAATGTATTCTCCTCCGATCATACTTTGCCAATCACGTTGGTACTGAATTCATCAATACCGTGCCCACATTGTACCAACAACTTACAACATTTTAACAACTCTCTATTACTCCCAAAAGCTGCAGTTTGTCGACAGACGCGACTATAATACAAAGCAAGGGCACTTGATAAAATAACTTAGTCTTCTATTCCATAATTATCTATATATAACGTACATATATAACACAAATTATGAATAAAGAAATAATAATCAGGTCGGTACAGTATTATGACTTTTACCTTAAAATTTTGTAAACGCCTGATTATACAAATTGATATATATCACGAAAATGTAAGATCATAATCAATGCGCCGAAGTCCACTCTCGAAAAAGAAAAAAAAAGGAGCCACTCTATCAGGAAATTCTGGAGTAAAGATGTACACGTGCACAGGGCATATAATAAGCAGTGGACTACGATTCTATAAGTTTCTTTTTCATTTGGGAGCATCGTGATTCTTTTACGTTCTTTACATTCAAACCTTAGATCAATCAATCCAGTATAGATAAAGCCCACTCGTTTCAGAATAGGAACAACCAACCAAATCTCCTCGTGTATGTTAATCGTTATTAGTCATGATATAAGTAATAATGTTAATATTTGAATAAAGTAACATGATGTGCAGTCAAATATTCATGGAATACTTGGCTACACGGAGGTCATGCGAGGATCCACCACAGTTATCTTTCCACTGTCAATGCTGTCCTGTTCTTTACACCATATATATATATTATATCGAATTTATTAGTATATATATATAGTATAAATATATACACGCACGCTAGTTTTAACAATCTTTCGTCACATTCATTCATTCATACGTAACTTCAGAAGAGAGGAACGTCTCCGCGAAAGCAAAGTCCCTCTAACTGCTTTGACGCGCTTTGCTTCGGATATTTAATCTTCCGTTGCTCTCTTTGTTCACCGAGTAATTCACTTCCAATGATTCCTGTTGCCGTACTCCTTTGTTTCCTTTTCTTCTTAATTTGAACTTCACTTCAATTCACAATGACTTATCACATGTTTTTCTGTTTCTCTTATTTCTTTTTAAACACTATTATCAAGTCAGCTCACTGTTTGATACAAGGAACGATAATACAATTGAATATTTACGAACACAACATTTTTTTGTCATGCTGAATAATGTAGCTTGTCTTGTAGAAAGACGCAAGCTCCTGGACTTGCGGCGACCAGTCTCGCATCTCTCGCAATATTTTATATAGTCGGCCTGTAAGTATAGTTGTAGAAGTGGTGGAGGTGGTGGTGATAGTGGTAGTGGAGTGGTAGTGGTAATCGTGGTATTGGTGATGGTGATACTATCCGGGTTTTTAGTATTTACAGTTCATTATAGCAGTTGCTATTTTCCTAAGATGAGATGGTGTGCAATTCAGTGTTCAAGATTTGGCATGTATTAGCATATCAAAGATTTTGTCTTTAGTTCCTTTCCACTACGAACTGCTTGACGCGTTCATACCACTAAACATGCCAATGCTAAATGAGGTTTGTTGCTGTTGTTGAATCTGTTGTTGTTGTTGTTGCTGCTGATTATTCGCTTGACGGCCATGCTTTGGCACTGGAGGTTGAAGATATTCGTGTTTAGCTAATGTCAATACATCTATACGTTCTTCTTTCCTATACGCTAGGCAACTTCTTATGAAACTCTGAAATATTTCAACATATTAAGATTTTTACTAACACTTAACTAACGCTTATCTAATAAGGGAATATAATTAATGTAGACAACTGATTTTTAGGATATTTATATGAGAGATAGTTCTTGGAAAACTATTTGATACATATTTTCTTTAGTAACTATTATTCAAGTTAAAGATATGAGAACATCCTTCGAAGATATCATGAACAATAATAGTGCGTTGTTAAAAGTTGATTTTTTAATAACTAAAGACGACACCGCAAATATTAGTATGATGGGCTATTAATCACTGAACAGGCCATGATGTGACCAATAACATCAACTTTTCATAAATTTCAAATAATTATAAATTGTTATCAGAATGTTTGTGATATTGATTGCGTTAATTTTCATATTTGTAATTAAATAGACCAATACTGTCTCATTTTATATCTAAATAAACAATTGTTTCAAAAAGTTGTTTGCATGATCGGATTTATGATAAAAGACCACACATCCTAAAACAAAAGTTTTTCGTTTTATATCCTTTACTTTCTGAAATATTCAAGAAAATGTTCTTCTTATCCGTAATTTTGAAAAATGTCTTCACCCTCTTAACATACACAATGGCCGATAAAAAGAAATGTGTCAAATATTTCTCTAAGAAGTATCCCTTATTTAAATTTGATCAAGATCTATGTGTCTAGATTCGATATATTCCCTTGCAAGTCCAGTTAACACTCGTACGGCGTAGTTCGTTTCCGTTTGGACATAGATTCATTGAGGACTATAAAAAAATTAACGTGTCTCAAAGGAGTACCTTTAAAAGTATATTGAAAAAAAGATTGATAAATAAAAATATATATGATCCTAAGCATACTCAGTTATATTTTTGTCAAAGAGATTCGCCGTTCGAGTGTCAAAACATTATTCAAATATATACCTTTGCTTCGTTGCTAACCGTTGGTTTATTTGCAAATTGAACTTCCGTAGCTTTCAAAATTGTGTTTTCTTCTAAAATTGTAGCTTGAGATTGATTATGTCCAAAAGGCTGAAAGAATATTATGCTTAGAACTCAAAATTCATTCAGTTAATATATTTATAAGTGAACAAAATGAATTGAAATACATTACTAATCAAGCATACCTTTTTACCATATAGACATTGGTAGAATATAACACCCACACTCCATACATCAACTTTCGACGATATTTTTGGAGGATTTTTACCTATGACGAAACACTCTGGTGGAAGGTACCTAAAAAGTAACATAAGACAATTATATTTTGATACTATTGCGTCTTATTAATACATCCAAATGTATATAAAGATAACATTCATTTTAAAATTGTAATTCACATTTCTATCATGTTTAGGTTGGTAGAAAATTTTCCTATTGCCGACATTTGTTACATCTATAATTGATTCGGTTTCATTAAGGTGGTTTTAATCATTAGCAAATATTATCCATGTATTTAATTTTTACATTATGTGGACATTATTTTTGTATGG